ATTATACATTCCAGCCATTCCTGGACTTTAGCTTGTACAACCTCCACAGGTACTGTTCTCTTTCCCATTGTTTCGTTCTCCATTGCACTGAGTCTCAGTTTAATCTCATCCAGTATAAACACATTTCAGTCATAAAACTCACATATTATATAGATGAGGTTTAGCAAATAGGCTCTGAATCCATCACTTCTTACAAATATATTACAGTTTTTTACAGCCGCTAGGACACATGTCACAATACTTAGGTCACTTTTGCAAAACTCTTCACACAATCCTCCTAACTGACCGTCAGCTTGGCAAAGCAGTTCATTTCACATTCAAAATGCACTACAACTACCAAAACACTTCATTCAGGTCTCAAATAAACTCATTCTTCCAGAACACTAGCAAAGGTTGACAGCCGACAAACACACTTTGTCACCCACAAAACAATGACCTAAAAAACACTAACAACATGTAGCATTACACAGTGTTTTCTTGTGTAAAACAAGGACACATCTCTGTTTATAATTTCAATATATGTTACTGGAATGAATCAGACATCATGCAGAATTCGTTAATATTTGTTTATGTATTTTTATTTTTTTGCACTAAGTAATCCCAAAATACAAGAATTTGTATACACACCATCCACTGATACACATACAATAGTAATGCTAATCTACTCGGTCTTCTCCATTTGGCCACAGGTTCTCATCCACATCACATCTTATGTCATCTAGGGCAACACACCTAGGAAAGAATCTTCTGGCTGCCAGAATTGAAGGAGTTGAAAATTGAAGGAGTAACACCTGTGTAGATGTTCATCTACAATGAGAATCAGCTGTGGCTGGTTAAACTGCATTTTTAGATTTAAAATATGTTTCAATAAAATATTGCTGTTGCATTTTGCTGTCTTTTTAAGTTTTGCATTGTGTTATTGTTTTGGCCATAAGTTTAACAGTTTTGAAAACAGTATGTAAGCACATGCAAAATGTCCTGTACGTACAAAGATTTTTGGCAGTTGTTGTGTCTGAGTGAGAAGATAATTCATGAAATTTGAGAGATGTAGTCATTGAATGCATTTTGTGCCAAAACAATGATAACTGGTCCTCAGTTTAGCCCACATAGACTTCTGTTGTGCTCACTGTGTGAGGAGTTTTGCAAACGTGACCTAAGTATTGAGACATGTGTCCTAGCGTCTGTAAAAAACTGTAATGATGGGAATGGGATGGTAGATGAGAAAATTAGCAGGAAGCAATGCACTGATATAGTGGCAAAAGACATGGGTGTTATGGTAATGCACTGGTTAGCACTGCACTGCTTCGCTGCTTCCTGGCTGTGACCTCTCCCTCTACCTGTCTGGGCTTCCTCTAACAGTCCAAAGGCACGCATGCTAGGAAAGTCAAACAGTACCTATCGATCTGAGATAGATCAACTTCTTGAAGTGTCTTATGTTTAACTTTTAAGCTACTCCTGTTTCCTCAAGAGGGTTTGCCTTTTGCAGACAGCCACAGTGAAAGTAGGAATGAACTGTTAATGACATGTCTGGTTAAACAATCTTGTGGTACAAAGTGATATTAAACAAACCCAACCTGGCCTTATTTCAACATCAGTTCAAGCACCATGCATTTTAGATATTAAGTTGTAGCAGATGATGCTTTATTTACTTTGAAAAGTTTAAAACAGTAATATAAATGAGTGCCTTTAAATAGCACATTTGGTGTACTACATGAGAAAAAGCGGGCATTTACATATGTATAACCCCTCACAGCTGGAGCTGTTCCTACGAATTAGCAGCAGTCTTCTCTCCATTATAATCCTTTTATTTCCACCCAGTTTATGTATAAAACATTCATTTTTCATTGCTTGGTAAGATAGCAAATTCCTGAAATGTTAGAATTTTTAGTCTGATGTTTCTTATTCCAGTAATAAGTAATATGAGCCTCTAATCAGTTTTGCTCCTGTTATCGTTCGTGGCTTTTAATTAGACTCGCAAAGCGGTACATGTATCACATGTGCCATTCTCAAACTCTAGTTTATATGCATGTTTTTGAACAACCATCCATCCATACATGTTTATGAAGATGGTCAAATAAAAAGCAAAATAGGCTGAAGAAAAAACATCAACAACTACAAAAAGTAAATCAGCAGGTCTTGATACACAAAAGATGCTGACACACTTCTTGCGAAGTAGACAGTTCCTGTGTTGGGCAGCTGCTGGTTTGAGATATGAAATGTATTAGTTGACTTCACTGGCACCACATAATGACTTTGGTGACTGAGACTGTCATCATCTCGTGATAATTTCTGTGGTTCAAATCCTGTCAGTGACGAGCTATCTTACTATCTTCCACCTTTCAAGCAAGATAGAGCAGCATGTGATGAGAAGGAAAGCATTAATTTTGTATGTATACAGGGAGTGCAGAATTATTAGGCAAGTTGTATTTTTGAGGAATAATTTTATTATTGAACAACAACCATGTTCTCAATGAACCCAAAAAACTCATTAATATCAAAGCTGAATGTTTTTGGAAGTAGTTTTTAGTTTGTTTTAAGTTTTAGCTATTTTAGGGGGATATCTGTGTGTGCAGGTGACTATTACTGTGCATAATTATTAGGCAACTTAACAAAAACAAATATATACCCATTTCAATTATTTATTTTTACCAGTGAAACCAATATAACATTCATCAGTCCATAAAACCTTAGAAAAACCAGTCTTGAGATATTTCTTGGCCCAGTCTTGACGTTTCAGCTTGTGTGTCTTGTTCAGTGGTGGTCGTCTTTCAGCCTTTCTTACCTTGGCCATGTCTGAGTATTGCACACCTTGTGCTTTTGGGCACCCCAGTGATGTTGCAGCTCTGAAATATGGCCAAACTGGTGGCAAGTGGCATCTTGGCAGCTGCACGCTTGACTTTTCTCAGTTCATGGGCAGTTATTTTGCGCCTTGGTTTTTCCACACGCTTCTTGCGACCCTGTTGACTATTTTGAATGAAACGCTCGATTGTTCGATGATCACGCTTCAGAAGCTTTGCAATTTTGAGACTGCTGCATCCTCTGCAAGATATCTCACTATTTTTGACTTTTCTGAGCCTGTCAAGTCCTTCTTTTGACCCATTTTGCCAAAGGAAAGGACGTTGCCTAATAATTATGCACACCTGATATAGGATGTTGATGTCATTAGACCACACCCCTTCTCGTTACAGAGATGCACATCACCTAATATGCTTAATTGGTAGTAGGCTTTCGAGCCTATAGAGCTTGGAGTAAGACAACATGCATGAAGAGGATGATGTGGACAAAATACTCATTTGCCTAATAATTCTGCACTCCCTGTATATTCTGTGATTTGTTTCCTTTATTAAAAAAGAATATAGTATGTGACGCTCATGTACCAAAAACAAAAAAAAAGCCACATGAGCATTTTTGTATATTGATCAAATATATGCTCACTGTCTGGTGAGGCCTCAGAAACATAATGGAACACACACTTGAAAAAGGCTGTGCATATTTTTTCCAACAAGGCTATTTAAATGAACATTGACATTTTAGTCAAGCTTGTATGAAAAGTCCCACTTATATGAAACATAAATGGATTTGCTCTTTGAGGAAAGTGAAAAAAGACAAACATAAATAGTCTACAGTATGAAAGGGTGAGAGCTGGAAAGAGCTCCATATTCCACATAAATAAGTGGCACCAAGAGTTGTGCACTAGAGTATGTGTTAAAGCAAACCACTTCCCTCCAAAAAATACTGGAGTTTAAATCTGAAATCCACGTGGAATCCATAAGTAAATAAACAGTAAACATTTTCACTCCAACTTTTTTTTTTTTGCTTGCTTTCTCTTGAGCAAGTTTGACCTCTCACTGCAGGAAGTTCAACACTTTTCAACACTGAGAGTTAAAGTATAGAACTTTGCCTGTGGCCTTGGTCTCTGCGGGCGTGGTCGGGCTCTGTGAACGAACTCTACCTGCTCCTTCTTACCTGGGACTGCCTGACACCTCCCCCTGGCGGGGCTGAGCGCGCCGCCGTACCTCGTCAGGACCGAGGACCGAACTCACACAGGCAGTGCATCGAGCCGCTGCGGGACGAGCTCTGTTAGAGAGAGAGTGTGTGTGTGTGTGTCTGTGTGAGTCTGAGTGAAAGAAAACCAAAGAAATTTAGTTTAGCTCTGTATGTGTGTGTGTGTGTGTGTGAAGGAGCGAACAGAGCCAGCAGAAAGCTTCGGGGCAGGTGAGCTGTGTTAATTTTTGTCTTTCAAAACTTTTCTGTAAGGAAACTCCTCAGTGAAATCCAATGACTAACAACCACCAATGTCATACTGTTACAGTGAGCTTATGCTCCTCTGTTTGCTGAAGAGCAAGTTTATATAAACCTTGTCTTATTACTGTAGCCCAGGTGCTGCAGTAGTAAAACCCATGTAGGGGCTAAAATGTGACATTGAAGACTGCTTTTATGCTAAGGCTAATTAATCTTTGTTAGCGCTTAGCTTGCGTTAATGATTACGTAGTGAGAATAAAATCAAAGGAATTAAAAGAATCTATAAATGAATGAACTTTTCTGCACCTTGTAGATACATGTAGCCAGAAACTGTTGACTACTACAACTGCTACTGTAGGTATAACCCCTAAAAATGATCCAACTGCGTTTTGTGTTTCATGTTTGAGGCTGGATTTTTATATGGGTTTTTATTGGTGACGCTAAAGCAAGTGCAGCAAAATCCCTGTTAACATTCACTTAGATAATATGATAATATGTATCTAGACACTGGAGGTTGTTTGACATTTTTTCGTAGGAAAAATAGTTTCTCTCTGCTCTATTATATCTGATTTAAACGTGTATAGAAGAGTGTGCATCCAAAGTTTGATTCACTTATAACTGGTACTTCTATAGTGTCTTTCTTCGCAGTCAAGTGCTTAAAGTACTTTCAAGTGTCATTCATTCAATCTCACACACACACACACACACACACACACACACACACACACACACACACACACACACACACACACACACACACCGCAAGGTATTAGTTGTCATGTCAGGTGACCTTAGGAGGCCACAAGCTAGCACTAGCTAGTTCTAGTGCTGCTTCCAAGCCCAGATAAATGTTTGCTCCATGAAAGACATCCTGTGTAAAATCGGTGCCAAGTCCTAGATATGGATATGTTAGCATACCTGGGAAAAACCTGAACAAGCACACCTTGACTAGTCATAGCACAGAAAAAAATGTGTTCATATCATTTTTTTTATCATTAAATTGAAAAGCATATTTTGAGAATATTTGATCGCCATAGGGGAATGTATATATTTCTATTATGACTTTGATGAATATGAGCTTGTGTGTCCTGTAAAGTGATGGATGTGTGGACATGCTTTCTCACTGACACCACAAGTTTTCTTATGGCTGGGAGGCAGATTTCTGACACTCTTGCACACATTCCTGCCAGATTAACCAGCAGCTAAGATTAATGCGGAGCAGAGCTCATATTCAGCATCTAAAATAATGTGGTCAAACATTTGTTACAGCTACAGAGGTCATATAAAGAAGAAAAGACGGTGTTTGACAGTTACATTTCAGGAGCTTGACAAATATATTTGTTGGTACTGGCCCTTCATAATAGTGCTTAAGGAAGTGAAAAATAGTTAAAAAGAAAACTGTGCCATGGCACAGTTTCTTAAAGTGAGTGATTCCATTGTTTACAGTAGTCTCATAGTAATATTGTATCATAAAGAAGCAAAGAAATTAATTGAGCTCTGGTTTGTTGTTATTCTAATCTCCCCAGTTTTTCCTTGGCTGTCCCTCCTCTGTCTCATCTGTCTGTTAGTACCTGATTCTGTTACCATGTTGTTAATCTTCTTGTCTCTGTATTTTGATGGGTTTGTTATTTATTGTAAGGCCGTACAGAGTAATTATATAAAGACTTCTTTTTTATCTGTTCATATCAAGAAAAAAGCATTTAAATTACTGCCCTTGACATATTGTTCCTTGTAATTCAAAAAATGCTTTTTAGCATTAATTTCTTTTCATCAGCTTATCCTGGTATTGGCTGTGTTTGGAGGCACAGGGTCCCATGGCTCTTATAGGCTTAGTGTAGTTTTAATCAGGTTAGTACCTGGCCTGTCACCCTACTTCTATTTACAACTCTAACTAAGGGTTAAAAGGATCCATGAGCTACTCGGAGCTATAGTGGTAAACCAAGACATGTAAGAGAAACATATATTTGCTATCTGCTTTGGCTGATGGTGTACTAGTTAAAAATAGAATATGAAGTTTGTATTTTTAAGGGATTTTGTAGACCAACACTTTGGCATACACTCACTGGTTGATGACCTGGTTGATTCCAGGATGATTGCAGCCTCCAGCTGTGCAGTCATCATTGGTTATGGCTGCCTCTGATGGACACATCAACCCAGCATGTCTAAAGTAGTGTTCAGTAGGAGATATATTTAGACTAAATATTGGCAAAGACACTGGATAGGCTTCTTCCAGAAAGGCTGATGCTACTTTGGGAGTGTGGTAATGAAACATTTGCAGGTAGGGGTGTTGCCACAGAAAAGGCACAAGTGCAGACTGAAGAAACTCATCTCAGTACTTCTGTCTAGTTTTATTGCCACCAAGAATCATCAGATCAGAGGTGTTACTGTTCTGGACATGCAAGGTTGCAGGAACAGCTGGGATACCCATGACAGAATCCAGCATGGCAAAAACCAACCCTGCCTCAGTCAGCCTCACTTAGTTGTTACATTGTAGCACTGGTGACAATGTGGTGTCTATGCTGTTTCTTATATACTAATATGGCTGTTGTGCAACTGAACTTGTTATTTGCAGTCTAATGACAAGAATCAAAATAAAAAGGACTTGAGGAGCAATAACTGACAGAAGAGTGCAGATAGAACTAAACACAGGAAATGACACAGAATGAAAAGGCGTGAAACACTGAGGGAATATAAAGAGGTAAAAGTAAATAAGACTCAAACTGAAGATATTTAATACTAAATATCTATACAGAACTTGAAACACCAAAAACATAAAACATTGGATCAAAGGCTGAGGAGCATGACAACAGCCCTAGTTCTTTCATAAAAGAACTCACACATGGTTCATTTAACAGAGAACTGGGTCATCATTTCAAAGAGGAACTTGTATATGAATATGAAAAGTAATGGGAGGATAATGCAAAGAAAAAAAATCACTAAAAGTCTAAAAATGAATGACTATCCATCAAAGAAATAGCAAAGACCTTTGGTTTGTTCAGTTGAAAAAAAAAGTGGTGTAAAAATGGTATAAATCCAGTAGATTTGCAAGGTGAAGAAACAAAACTTCACCAAGTGAGTCAGCAATGTTTTTATGACCAATTTGTACCGTTCTTCTGATGGCTGTTTCAAATCATCTTAAACTGGGTTCTTGAACATCACAATGGGTTCACTGTAGTCACCAGGCCTCAATCTAACACAGAACCTTTGGGATGTGGCAAATCATGACCGCCAGCCCACAAATCTGCAGACGCTGTCATCTCAGTATTTGCAAATACATCAAGGATTTTCCAGCACCTGCGCCACGAAGACAAAGGGGCAGTTCCGAAAACAAAAGGTTGTCCAACTCATACTAGTAAGGAGTATCTAATAAAGTGTCACGTTAGATTACTTTTGTTTGCTTTTGTTTCTTAATACAAACCTATAAATAGGGCTTCTGTGCTCTTAGTCAGTCCAACAGAACAATAGGAATTTCAAATATTGTAATATAATAAAAACCTTTTTTTGCACTTTTATGTGCAAAAAATGTAGATGCCAATGAGCCACACAAGAAGCTGTGGAAGAAAAATTATTACAATAAGTGATAGAGATCTGGTAATTTTGCATTATCTGCATGGCTAGCCTTTGTTGTTGGAATTCCATGCATTGTGTTAGCTAGCCAAGGCTGACAGAAGTTGGAGGTACATTAATATGTGACACTGCACTTCTAATAGTTCACAGGTAACACTGTTGTCTAGTGAACTGCAGCACTCTCTCGGTTATCTCTATAGGCACTACTACAAAGGTGTTAATGCTGAGCCACAACCTCACAGCTGCCCTGTTCATCTCCACCTTGCGCCAACTAATCCTCGGTTTTTCTAGTCCAAACACGACTACGTTCGTTCGCATGTGTCTGCAACGCGCTGCAGGAGCTCCTCACTCGCTACTGTTTGGTCATGCCCTTGCGTGAGTTTTTGTCAGGCTTGTCAGACAGGCATGTCCCTTTGAGTTTATTTTGCTTTATATGGTAGAACACCAAAGACTTTGAACGATAACGCTCATTTCAGGTGATCTGATGCAGAATGTTGCTCGATTGTTTAGAGAGAAAAAACAAAATGTATCGGTTGTGTTTTGAAGGGGATCGCACGTTCACACTTCCCATTGTGTGTCTGTGTGTACACAGGTGGTGTGGAGCAAATGTAAGCCAAGCAGTAGGCGGTATTGGGTGTGCTTTATTTCATGCTTGTGTCAAGCAGCAGAGAAAATCTGGATAAAACTGTCTTTGATTGTGATCTTTTCTTTACTGTATAAAACGCGCCAACTGTCCAGACAGCATTATGAGATTTCCTTTGGCTCCCGGGGTGATGATCTGATGATTTATGCAGTGGTTTTGAAAGTCGTTTGAAGGCAGTTTTTCTTTAACTGAACTGTTTACTTTGAAGGTGTTCTGTGTGAGCAATTGGTGCCTACAATTGTTATAACATGTTATAACGTGAGACTGAAGCAATAGAGGCTTAAATGAGGTCAGTGAGCACCAGATGCTCTGAAATAAAGGGGCGAACATTGACTGAGAAGGGCTGAGGCATTTAAGGCCGCTCATCTATAAAGCTGGAATTGTTAACTCACCTCCAGCTATATGGTAATAGAAAACCCAGCTCATTCTATTAATCTAAATATTAAGTTAATTTCCTTAAAGGGTAAGATTTAATCGTGTCCTTATTATAAACAAGTCTCGACTTCCATCACAAACTTTTCCTGTAGGCTTTTAAAATGTGTTGCATTTTGAAAGATGTGCTCCAAATAACTTCACAGTGACTTCAACATAGGCTTAATTTGATCTGAGGAGACACAGTTATTGTGGCTTTAAGGGATGTTAAAGTAATTTATGACCAATATGACTCATGTCTTGCAGTTCAGTGCAAAAAGGCTTTCATGTATAATGAGTGGGATTGAACCAGTATTAACAAAATGGAAAGACATGATCTTATTTGATTCCTGCATACACAAAGTGATTTGGTGTATTTTTGGACAAGGATTCTATTAATATATTGTGTGTATTCCAGCAATGGACTTTCACATTTTTAATTAAATGTCTGTATGTTTTGTTGCGTTATGCTCTTATTTAACCTTGTATTTTTTATAGCTTGTATCCTTCATTTTCATACGGAACATCACTGTACATTAGACTAATTCAAGAGTGGTTTCAATCTTGTCTCAGTTCTTTGCTCTAAACATTTAGGCAGTATCATTAGAGGAAGTGAATTTGTACAAATTTAGGGAAAAAAGTTAAGCTGCTATATATGTAATGTGTATTTGTCTATATTGTATAGTTATGAAGCATGTTACAGTTGTAGTTCCAAAAATTATTAAATATCTGTCTCTTTCTTGTAGATCTTTTCTGATTGCAGATTTTCAGAATTCAGAAACAGCTTTTTCCATACACTCTTTTATAATCAAATATGTTGTGTCCCATCCCAAATAGGAGATCTTTCCTAAAGTTTTAAAGTCTGAGGGGCATGGTGTGAAATAGATTGCTTGTAATTCCTTCCTGAAAAACATTTCCTACAATATAATAGATTACTATGTAGGTGTTACTCTGTCTTTCTCCCACAGCCTGAAGGCATGCAGAGGGTTAGATTAATCAGTGATTCTAAAATGACAGACGGTGTGAATGCCAGCATGAATGCCTGTCAGTCTCTCTTAGCCCTGCTACAGACTGGGAACCTGTCTAGGGTTTTCCCTAACTGGGATAGATGCCAGCACCATAATAAAGATGATGGATGGATACCATTAATGTAAGTAGAACTTAACAGGATTCCAGGTCATTTGAGCCCACTCTACAGCAACCGAAGTAATGGCAGAGAAGTAATTTCTTGAAGAAATCGTTAATTTTCATCTCATTTAAAATTTTAATTGAGATTTGACCAAACAAAAGTATGTATGGTTTTTAGTTTTTATAAATGATTTAGATAATTTGATTACAGATATTAAAAAAAAGTTAAAATACACATTTGAATAAGCTAATAAACAGGGTGTAACAAATAACAAAAACAGTAACTAAGACAGCTAAATAAAGTAATTATTACAGAAGAAGAACACTGAAAAAGTTTAAAAATAGTCTGGCATAATGTGTGACATTAGTTGCTCTAAAATAAAGGTGATATATAAAACCCCACGCTGTAACCTTCTGCTTGAGCTCACATGTACTTCCCAAGATATGGAATCACACCGTTGGTTGCCCCAGGTATCCCACAGCAGCTTGAATGGCGTGGGGGGTTGCGGTGTAGGGGTGGGAGCAGTTTCCATTTACAACGTAAGTGAGGATGTAGATTTCCCGCAGATGTTTAATTCAAGCATGTTCACCTCCAAAGCGCTCTTGCTGAGACCTGAAGTTTGTTTGTTCTGCTCTGGATTTCACTCTTTATTTGCTCGGATTAGTTCTTCACGCTCCATCAGAGGTGGTTTTATATTCATTTATACGGGGTCAAAGTTATGTCAGTGATTCTAGGTATAAGTGGTCATAATTTCTTTATTTGATCCCACACACCCACCATAATTCAGTATTTGATGAGTAACCCTGGTTATTAGCACTGTGGTTAGCACTGTTACCTTAAAGCATGAAGGTCCTCAGTTCAATTCCACCATCAGGCCGGCGTCTGTTTGTGTGGGTTCTCTCTGGGTCCAAAGACATGCACTTAGTGAGGTTAGGTTAGTTAGAAACGTTAAATTGCCCACGGGTGCGAATGGGTGTTAGCCCTGTGACTGGTGACTTGTCCAGGGTGTACGCTGCCTCTTGCTAAGACAGCTGGGTAAAAAAAGGTGACATTTTCTTATCAAGAAATTATATAAATTATGTTCAAGGCCCTCTGCTGCTTTTTTTGTTTTATTGTCCTGCTTTAGACGACTATAACATTGCAGAAATGGGTTGTCTATGGGTTGTCTATACTACGGTACCATAAATATCGAGTCACCTGCCTGTTGGAAAGTAAACTTCCTCCAGGAAATGATCTGATCCCATTTTCAGCCCAACCTTGTTTTACAGCATGTTAACAACAGTGCCTCAAGCTGCAGTGTGTTGGCAGCAGTGATTTCAGTAGTTCGGCCTTCATTTCATGTGTACACAAACTCACAGACACACACACGCACAGAGTCAGGCTTATCATGTTATGGTTTTCAAGGATATGGGAACCTGGGTTTGTTTGGACTTGAGTGTAGAGATTCCTTGGCTTTGTCCGACCGCTATGCAGGAGTTATAGTGGTGGCACTGAACTTTCTGCAGGGTCCGTCTTATCTGTCCTATTGTAGAGATTGTGTGCTTGTCTGTGCCAAAGTCTTTGCTCAAGGTCTTTGACTGCCTGCAGTGAAACCTAACCAAAGACCTCTAAGTGTGATGATCATTGTCTTATTTGTCTACTTTAAGAAGAGTTCCAGGTTCAGTTCCTATTGCTTGCATATTCATAACAATGTTTTTCTTATATTTAAATACATCCATAAGAGCTTGCTACTTACAGCCTAAAACTGGGACACTTTGACCTATATAAAAATTTAAAAAATGAATAAAATGATGAAAGTCTGAAAATGTCTGTACATGCAGCTGAAACCACTGTCATAGACCCCTAAGTTGCCAATCTGATTTATTTTACTGTAGTTTTGTCTAACACCCAGACGCCCGCATAGTTGGATTACAAGAGGATTGCAAGATATACGTTAAAAAGAGCTGCAGGCTAGAGTGTTAGAGGCATACTTGCAATTCTTTTTAATTTTTGATCTGCTCTTTTTTCTTTAGTTCTGTGAAAGTAGTGTCTTTGAATAATATGTTGCATTTATTTTCAGGGGGATCAAATTCTCAGATGTTTGTAGAATTGTAGTTGAAGTTTTCAGTAATTGATTTGTGAACTCTTACAGCAGATTAAGAAACCGCATTGAAGTCACTACTAGTTACACTTGCCACGTACGTGCTTACTGTGTGTTGAGACGTATCTCGCTCTTTTAGGAGAGGTGAAAGGTCACATCAGCAGAGAGCTGTGATTGTGAAAGCTGCTTTGTTCTGTGCTGCAGCTTTTAAGTTGTCGCGCCTGAATCACACACATGCATGCAGGGGCGTAATTTTCAGATGGGTTAGGGGGGTTATGACCCCCCTCCCAATAATCAGACCCAACCAATATAACCCCATATATGCCTAAATAGGCTGTTGATTTTCTTTACTCATTTCAGGTATTACCAGCAAAATAGTTCAGCACAAAGTTACGCTGATGTATGCATGCACATGACCCACACACACTCATTTCAAATGCACATGCGTACTATCATGCATCTTCATGCACCTTTCTCTTAATCTATTCACAGCAGCAGAGTCACTTCTGTGATTTGAATGGAATTGAACTCTTTGACCTTATGCTTATGCTTCAGCTCAGTTTTATTTTCAAATCCTTTATTTTTTCAGTGGTTAGGATAAAAAAGGAACAACAAATTCTCAGCACATGCAATTTTGTGATTATACAAGTAGTTGGTCTTGTTTTAAAATTAAACTTTATTTTTAGAATAAAATAATCCTCTTTCTGGTAAATTGTTGATGAGAAGAAGATTATTGGCACGGTGTTATCTTTCCTGCTAAATATCAAGCTAAAGCAAGGAGCTAATTAGCAGTGCAACAGATTGACAACCTGTCCTTTCGCCCTGACAGCTGGATTGACAGCTGCATCTGTGGATGGATGGGTGAATGCTGCTTACAGGTTTGAAAAGTGAAACCAATGCATACATATCATAAACTAACATTTTTTTTATGTCAAATAGGGGCAACCCCTCTGGTCGCCAAAAGAAGTTTGTATAGCCTTTATTGTCACATGTCCAAAATGACATATGGGTTAATTTCATTTGGTTTGTAGTCACATTAATGAAAAAAACAAAATTAATCCCAAAGACGTTTCCTTTATACTTTGAAGAGATTTAGTCGGTCGCTTTTATGTTATTTAGTCATTTAGTTTGTACAGCACCTGACCTGAATATTTGGGATTTCTACCATAGAAAATTTCCTCTAAAATTTGCTCTTCGGTATTTTGGTGGACTTGTTATAATTTAATGCAGAGACAGGGCTGATCAGAGTAGATGTGAAAAATTCATCTTCTGCGTCGTTCTTCTTTCTAACTTCCATTGAAATGCTGTTATGGAGTCGCCTAGTTTGTATTAAGCTAAACTGATCAGACTGCCGGTACCACTCTTCTCAGTTTTTTTTGTCATTATTTTCCTTATTTTTGACATTAAATTTTCCCTCCTCTTCCTCTTCCTCTCGTCTTCCTCTTCCTCATTGAACTGTCCCTCTCGCTCTTTTTCTCTGCCCTCATCTTCCTCTCTCACCATTCACTCTTCCAAGTGTCCAGAAGAAAGGGGTGGTGCATTCCAAAAGCCTGGAGACCATTCCCTTCTTTCAGGCAGTGGCCTGTAGACTGACAGTGAAATTAGAATAAGAATAGCTGCCCATTCACCCCAGTGCCCTAGTGACGGGCTGGAGGGAGAGCAAAAAAGAGGGAGTGGGAGGGACGAGTGGAATGAAGGGGGTCCCTCAGACACGTTGCGTTCCAATTGGCCGGTGGCGTTCCCTGTGTTTTTACATCGCTGCCGTCAGTTGCACTTTCAAGTTTGTTTTACACATTTTGCCGCACATACACACTGCACATGTGCATGCATGCGGAAATGTACACATTGGGGTCCAAGGCTTGAACACGTGCACTGGAATACAGGAATCTACGCACTGTCAAGCAGGTTGGCCTTCAGTGAGCAATTCTGACCACGCTGTGCAGAGCAGAGTGAGGTGACCCATGGCTGTGTGAGTACAAGGCTGCTCTCAGTTAGTTGGATTCACAGTTGTGTTTTTGTTGTTATTTTTTTAAGATAGGTTTTTCATTTGTGTAATATCAGCTAAACTCTGAATATATTTTGGGTATTTCTGTAGCTTGTGGCAAAGAGTTCAGATTAAAAGGCAACCTCGTGCTGTCGCCACTCATGTGGGCCACTTGTGTCTAAACTGTAAACTTTTAATCATGTAGCTGTTAAAATTTAAGATTAGTGCTAGTGCTAGTGTTGTTTTTTTTTCTTTGTTTTAACTCTTACCAAATGGCTTTTGCTAGAATGTAGTTTTGATCAAAACTGTTTATTGTCATCTTCATGCCTCCATGTAGATCTTGGATGGGTTAAATATAATATTACTGATTGACAAAATACCTCTTTGCAACTCTGCAGTGGCAAACAGGCATTATGATTCTTTGCAGATCTTCCCACTCTTAGACTGTGCAGTAAGTGGCCCCTCACTAACAGGGATCTAGTGTTTTTGGGACTTTTTTGTTTTTGAAAAAAAAAGAAGCACATCCATCTTACCTTTGTTGTAAGCCCATGAAGTTATGTGATTGATGGAAAGATGACTGTATGCCTTCTGCATTAATAACTAGTTTATATGCTCTTGATTTTAAACAAAACGTGTAAAATAAATAGATTTTTTTGTATTATAGATAATAATCCAGCATTTTGTGTTTCCATTTTTTACTTGAGCATCCTACCAGTTCCATCGTCTAGACAGTAAATAGTGTCACATGTAAAATTCTGGTAGTGCATGAAGCAATATATTATTGCAGTTATAAATAATAAGTATACTATTTTCTTTACAATCTAGCTCACCAAGTTGAGTAGTAAGGCTACTGCAGAGGCCCTGGTTCAAATTTATCCCAGGTTGTTTATTGTGTGTCTTCTCCCTTTATGTCTCTCTGCATGGATGTCTTAATAAAGGCAAAAAGTTTGCATTTAGGCAGCAGCTAAACTGTTCTAAAACGATATGCATATAACAAAGAAACCCTGCAAACAGTCTCTTTTTACATTTTGTTTATCATGAGAAGCAGACCACACATAGTAGAAATTTTCTCTACCAATACAGAAAACTTGATACTTTTTTTCTTTAGAGATCAATAAACTTTTTGTATCCTTTGATATTTTTCACATGCACAAAAAGTATCTCCTGGATTAGCAAGCAAAGTTGAGCTTTCTGGGCAATTCTTTCATATTGAAAATCTTTGTGGGGCAATAAAATCTGTCTCCCTTTTAACTAAGTAGGTTTATGTAGGGCGAAAGAAATCAAGGATGTGACATGCTTTCTAAATACACTTAGTCTTTTCATTTATTCTGGTCATCTTGCCTTTTTGATAACCACTTTTACTTATCTCAGAGTAACATTTCAGACTATCTAACATGAGCAATGTAGACACTGGTTGGTTCTTTTCAGTCAAGACCATCTATCTTTCCCATACTACTACATCACAGCAAAGCCTGGAGGTTGTGTTGTAACATCAGCTGTTACCACAGCACTGAGTAATTATTACTCCAACCAGCCAAGACCATTGTTAAGATCTGTAAGGGACTCTACCACCTGCCTTGACTGACAGTGGTTAATACTCTACTTTAGTTTATGGACAAACAATGCCTCTGTGTATTGTGGTGTTTTACTGTGGCCTAAATGTTTTATTGATTTCTTTCTCTCACAAATTATTTATGTGTGTTACAGGCAAAGAGACAGCCTGTTGTCCATCATGAATGTTCATCTGAGCCTCCTCATGCTGGGTGAGTAGAAGTCAGACATGTGTTTAGTCTTTTTCTGTGGGGTGAACAAATTCCTCGACTTGTGTAATAAGTACTGAGCTCTCTTAGCAAGAGCTCCGGTGTGCAGTGACCAGGACAGAGTGTTTATTACCTCTACTCCCAGGAACTTGTTACCATCTCCACTATCATGCTGTTGATAAGGAGTGGTGTGTTACTGCCCTGGCCGCTCCTGAAGTTGACAACGAGCCCTTTGATTGTAATACAGCATCTGCATGTTTGTGTTTTTATCATCCAGATGTGCTTGGCTCTGTTGTATTACAGAGGAGATGGCATCTTCCGTAAAGTGATTTGAGCGGTATGCAAACTGTAGTGGGTCAAATGCAGGAGGGAGGCTGGAGACAATGTGTCTCTCAAAGCACGTCATCATAAAAGGAACACTGTGGGGCAGTAGTCATTGAGATGAGTGACTGTGGGTTTTTGATGCCAGCAGTCTTAAAGCAGGAAGGTACAACAGTGGTCCAACAACAAATTGAAGATGACTGTGAGAACTGACATTAGCCGGTCATCACTGTTCCTGAGCCCCTGTCCTGGCATATTAGGACTGCTTATGTTCACTCTCCTCAAGGTCTTTCAGACATCTAGTTTATCTTGTTAAATAGGTAAATAGTGGAGAAATGTGTTTTTGTGTGTACGGGGAGAATGGGGCTGGGGCAATTGTCTCTGCCAGTCTTTCTGTAAAGTCACTGCATGCCACTTCCTCATAGGACCTTTATAAAGTAAACTCACTTCTTATTGTAACAGCCGATGCCTTAGGCATTAAAATATTTCCTCTATTGTCATATTCTGAGTAAATTTAACACCAGAACCGCAGGTTCAGAATAGACAACATAATCTTCAGTGTACACTTAGGATGAATTCCTTCTCTGAGGGAAAATTCTTTGAGATGTTTGTTTAGAATTAAATTTAAAAAGATTCCTGAAATCTGCCATGATGGTATTTGTGGAATGATAGGCCACTGACAGGAGAGCTAAATCAGAGGACTTGCAGGCCTAATAGTACGGTTGTGCGATACTTTTTAGGGCCACACAAGAGCATAGCCACCATTTCACTTGTAAGATTTACCCCCTGGTTAGTTATGCTGTACTTTTATAAGTTAAAGGGAAATTGTTATATATTTTTAGCCACTCACACACATGACAATAAAGACTGATTACATATTTTATGCTTGCCATTCCTAACTCGCCTATTCTCAGGTATCTGGGTCAGTCTCTATGTTGTTTATTAACTGGAGGAAGGAACCATTCATACGTGCAGGGTCAGAAACTAAACTTTAATAATAGTGAGCATGAACTTTGCTTCATCTGGTGATACATATTTGTGAATAAATGAAAGCATGGAAGGATCAGTTTAACAATCATTGAATATCTAGGATGGATGATAATTTACTTAAAACCTTTCATATTTTAATATTTGTAAATATTGTGTAAATATATAAAGGTATATGTAAATATGTCTGACCTCTGCATTAAATATCCTGCAACAGTTAGTGAGTGTGCTTCCAGGAGATGAAGCAAGTTTAGAACTTGATGTTGTTGCTGACTTTCAAGCTCTGTTTTTTCATATATCTTTGCATATATTTATTACATACATATATTTTACCATTAACTGTCTTCTTTGTATTCACTCCATTCACTCCATTCTTCATCATGCCCTCCACACACAAAGCACTTTTTTCCCAGTGGAAAAAAAGATAAAGGAGATGAAGTAAATGAGCAGTTCTTCAAGTGCAGCTCCATAATAATAATAATAATAAAAAGGACATAAAAAGAGGTACACTTTACTCACTTTACTCAAAGCAAGAACCTTGACAAGAAGGCTGTTCTCGAAAAAATGTATTTCTTGCCAGGAAAGAAGCTCTGAAAAGCAAAACTGGTTAAACATTTATATTTAAAAGGAACTAAAGCTGCAGCCACCTCACTGACTTTCCATTTACTATCCTGTCGGTCTTAATTAAGTGATACCCTCCCATTCCAAGAATCTAATATATTCTGGTGAAATGTAGAATGTTGACTGTAATCTTTTGAGAGGACCAACAAATTTGCATCAAGGAAAAAAAACTTACTGTAGTTCTTTTTACAAGAATACTGAGTGTCAAAAAACAGCCAGGTTAAGAATGTGCCTCGCACAAACAGCAGCTGGTTTGCCTCCATGTGATTATATGTAGCACTGGCACATGGCAATGAAACCCACACCATCCACTTGAATACAGCCTTATCGCAGGAATGCAGGAACATGAGGAAAATGTTATTCATGACAGAAAACATTCCTGGTGTTAGATGCGTAGACATAAGTGATGCATACACAGATAGTACAGATGCTTAAAATTGCTGCCACCAGCCTGTTTCCAAGCCGCTACGAGTCCTCCATCCTTCTCCTGCAGCATATCTACTCTTCTCTATGAACATGTCCCCCTTATTCAATTGTTATTTCCCAAGAGACTGTTTTTTGCTGATCGCAATATAGTCCATACAAACTGTTGATCAAGTATGGAAAATGTAAAATGGTCGGATAAAACTTGCAGCCAGTTTGACATTTTGTACAAATACAGCCACTTAAAATGGCCAGCTTATTCATAGCAGAACAGCGGTGGATCGTTGACTGATCCCAACTGTGACGCTGTCAGCACTGATCCCGTAGAGCAGGGGTGTCAAACACCAGTCCTCGAGGGCTGGTGTCCTGAAACACACCTGAATAAAATGAGTAGGTCATTAGCAAGACTTTATAGAACTTGACTGCAAGCTGAGGTGACAATTCAGCCATTTGATTCATGTTACGGCAGCTTATGAGTGAATGAACATGGTGCAATAAAAGTACACAACCCCAGGTCAACCCATGCTCATGTCTGCTAATGCGATTCTAGAATTTTTGTGCAATCGCCCCTCTTTTGATTTTGTGTTAATTTAGAAGCAGGAAATTAGAGATCATACAGATCTTTATGTATTTGACACATTGCTGCAGTTTAACTGATTGGTTTGTATCATCTGGCTTCATGGATATAAGCTGGGTATCATCTGCATAGCAAAGAACATGTATCCTATGGGTTCTGATAATATTACCTAAGGGAAGCATTGTGTAATGTAAATGGAAGTGGTCCCAGCACAGACTCCTGTGGAACTTTGTGACTAACTTCTGTGCATGTGTAAGAATGTGCATGCACAAATTAGAGTCTATTACATGGATATGATTCATACTACTGAATTCCTTTAAATCCATCTCTGTAGTAGAATATTGTGGTCAGCAGTATTGAATGTCTAACGGGACAAGCACAGAGATGAGTCTGCTGTCAGATTCTATGAGAAGATCATTCATATTCTTCACTAGTGCTGTTTCTGTACTAAGTTAGCTCAGTTAGCTGTTTTACAACTACTCTGTCATTTTTGATAGTGTAAGTTTTAAGTATAAAGGTAGGCACTGCACAGGTGTATTATTTGTCACCTAATTATATTAATAGAAAGGCAGTTATGAAGATGGGAATTATCCACAAGAGACCAAAATAACTGGTGAAGTTGATACTAAACACTACAATCATTATAATAAGATGCTTCAATGCAATCAGCCACAGTCACACAGTAATTGTGGGTACTGTGAGTATAAATGCATTTGCAAATAGATATACAGTATTAAAAAAAGTCCTCAACAATACACACACTGAAGTCTTACATGCTAGTCAGGGCAGGTAAAACCAAAGTGTCTGTAGCCCACACAAAGAGAAAGATCCACGCTATTGTCATATCTGAGGTGCTAGAAGCATCTCAAAAATTAGTCTGCATAGGATGATGACTTTGCCTTGTAATTACCAAAGCAAACACAATTTTCTACCCTATCTTACACAGATTGAGGAAAGACATTAGTCAGAGCACTTTTGAGAGTGGCTTATATTCAGTAGCATTCTTTGCATGTGTGGTCTCCTTCAAAACACAAACTCAGTCATTAATTAAAACACAGGCTAAATCAGTACTGAGGTATACATGCCTAGACAGAGTGTTGGGACATCTGAATGCTGCTTTTATCATAGTCTCTATCAGTCTTTATATTTCCAATAAAAGTGTCGTTGTCGTGCCAAATTTTCCCTTTTAAAAAGAATTGCCCTTTTTTGAAAACCTGATGTAGGTAATTATCAGAGTACATTAAATGCACATTTTTATTTCTTTGCGCGGCGTGACGTGTGACGTGACTCAATTTTAATTTGGATTCTCATATTTTGTTTTACTCTAAAGCCAAATTTATTACAATGTCTGTTAAGAGGGTTTCCATGTACGGTGTTTTATGGTGCCTCACCTTGGACAGGTTATTTGATCATACCTTTAAAGTGAGGTCAGGTGAAACTCAGTTATACCTCTTAGTCATACTCTCTGTGTCTGTATCATTAAATAGTTATCAGAGTAGTGAACTGGAACATAACTCTAATTTTTAGCTGCGCCAACAACAAATATAAAGTTTAAGGTTTTTCTGCTTCTGAAAGAATGTAATCTTTTTATTTAAGCTTAAAACATGGTTTACCTTCCTGCATGTATGTAAGTGTGTTTTATGTTTGTCCAGGGTGTGTCTGCTCTTTATCAGCAATCCACAGGTTTGCCTTGCAGCATGTTTTTGTACATTTCTGTATGTGACCATTGTACATGTTGTGGCATTTTAAATATAAACCTCTTTCCTTTTGCTTTAACATGTTCTGCAATGCCAATATGCTAAAAGCTTATTGTGGCGGTACTACAGACTATTCTGTGTAGAATAGTCTGTAGTACCGCCAGGCATTGTTAATGTTTCACTGGAATTCAGAAAATCTTCCTCTGTTAATCTTGTACTTGAACTGATTCCAAGACATTGTGTATGTGTCTGTGTGTACAGAGAGATTGGAAGAGCTGTAGTCTTAGTTACTTTGAACTGAGTAAACCAGAGAATCTTTAGGTTTTGAAAGCAAATATTTAATGTAAAATGATTTCCACAGTTGTCTTTTCAGCTACAAAATGTAATTGGTTTACTCTACAGTATGCATACTAAGCATACAAAAGGATTTCCCCAGTTTTAATCTGGAACAAATCATGGGAGCTAGATCTGCAGTTTACTTTTTGAAGATCTAATGAGGAAACCTGACCTTCAGCTGAGAGCCAGTAACATTGTCACTACTGTGATTCTGTCATTGAAACTTCAGAAGAGCAGTCTGATGCCTAAGTGTTTTGGCTTGTGAATCTAATATGAAGATCCGCTACTGTAACAATATCTCTGTCTTTAAAGTGGAAATGCACCACGTATTTCACTGAATACAGTATTTTTTAACACAAAACATCTGCACCCTTTATATCAAAATCAATCTGGGTAAGGGAGCAGTGTCCTTTGTAGCCAGTAAGGTCAGTAACAGATTTGTCTTTTTTTATAGTTTCTAAATACGAAAGGCCATGATGAAACTTTCGTTTACATTCATTTGATAAGTTGTTATTCCCCAGCATGATCTAACAAATCTCTAAGGTCTTCTTCTAATGCCAGGAATGTTTGGTTTTGTCAGTCTTCCAGTGCTTTAATGATGTTTAGTGAGGCTTGTATGCAGGCTCACTTAACTTGCCTTCTCATGCTTTGTACAGAATTAATCCAAAGCATTTTAGAGTGGAATGCGTTGTCTGTCTCAGAAACTTTCTGTTAATGATGATGCAGAGATATTCTGTGTTAAGAAAAATAACCTGACGTCTGACAGTCTCTGGGAATTCTGATGCCATTTTTCACACTATTGCAACGCTATTGATGATTGATGTGAACACAGAATGAAACTCTTAATTACTATTCTTGTGATTTACTGCATGTATTGCTTGAATAAACCTGTTGGGATGTCTTTGTCTTGTCTCCCTTCCCTCACCCCATCCGGGCAGATGTCTGCTCCTCCCTCAGCCTGGTTCTGCTTCTTGTTAGAAGGGAGTTTTTCCTTCCCACTGTTGCCAAAATGCTTGCTCATAGGGGGTCATATGATTGTTGGGGTTTTCTCTATTTTCTTTGTGTTATTGTAGGGTCTTTACCTTACAATATAAAGGGTCTTGAGGCAACTGTTGTTGTGACTGTATAAACACATTGAATAGTCAGGTGTACAGGGGTTCCTAATAAAGTGCCTAGTTACTGTCAGTCACATTAGAGAGGATGCTTTTGAGTTCATTTTAAACCATCTATATCTTTCCTGTTTGCTTTCTTTAGATCAACAGGATGAACAGCTATCTCTCATCTTTTATGTCTCTGTGCTCCGAGATTATCAAGCTTTGGCTTTTTCTTTAAATCAGACAAGAAAGGCATGTTTTTTTATTCAAAAGTGTGACAAGAAAAGTAGAACTCAAAAAGAGAAAAACTGTTTGACAGTGAGCATAATGGAACACATTCAAATACACAAAAACAGATGGCAATGATAGAAACTGGACTATAAACTGATTACATTTTTAAGAACTGTTATCAACACATATACTGAACATGGATAGACAGTGCATTTGATTGTGAGTAGCAACCTCCAGAGCTTAAAAATATTCATGCAAACATAGCAAAAACTGCAATTTCTGCATTTACCACTTGAGTCTAAAAGCGCGTCAAACCCTGTAGACTGCCATGTTAAGGTGCCGAACTTTACACAATTAAAAATTATGATCACATTATAAGAAATTGATTGTTTGACCCATTTATTAAAATAGTTTCAAATAACCTACCTGTATGAAAAATTGCTTTAAGATTAAGGGCATGGCTGGTTTAGCTGATAACTCTGCTCAGAGTCAGTCAGGACACTGAATTGGGCCTTTTCAACATGTTTGTCCCTTTTTGAGCAGTTGTAAATGACTTCTCTGACAAATAATATGGTCTTCTTGGTGGTAGAGAACTCCAAGAATTTTGTGCTTGAGCTTTGTTCAATGAAATGCTGGTATTTTATTAATCTTTCACCTATCAGAAGTGGCTAATATATACATCAACATTGCATTATGGATGTGCACATTATGGAGCTTATTAGTATTAGTTAATAACCACTCCACCCTCATGTCCAAATACGGTCACTTGTGGTTAAAGCCATCAGACACAAGCCAAAACGCTCACACTGATGCTTCTGTGCCCATCCATTTAGACAAAGTTTCCAACATGGCTTTCTGTAGATTCAAGCCGTCAAAAGGTCTAGTTTGCTCATATGTGATTCAAAGCAGAGGTTTACTTGGCAGTAAAGAAGTAAACTTTATGACTGTTTAATTCTTTCCAGCTTTTTGGGGGGCGATTTGAGATTTGTGATTCTTTTAAATACAAGAAAAATATCTAAATTAGTGGAAACATTGTTAGTGTGAAGCTGACTGTGATTAATGATTCTGATGATTCTGTTTTCTGTTTCTACCATCCATTAATCCATGGCCAGCTGTCTGTGTATTTGGACAAGAGCTCCCATCAAGCCCTCATGGCTGCACTGAGGGAAGCTGTTACCCTGCAACAGGAAACCTCCTGATTGGACGTGCTGTCAATCTAACGGCCACCTCTACTTGCGGCCTTAATGGACCAGAGCGATATTGTATTGTCAGTCATCTGCAGGTCAGTCACACACAAACTCCTGAATGTAAAGTGTAAAGAGCGAATACAAAGAGCATACCCACATTCATTCTGAGCATGAATTGGGAATAAGTGGTAATAGCTTCTCATTATATTTGAAGATCCAGGTAATGACAGACCACACAAGTACATCGTTTTCTTCCTTTATTTGAATTTACCGATTGATTTTTCTACAGCTGTTTTTTTTATATGCACTCTGCTTGACTCTCACTCATCACATTGCCATTTCCCTCACAATACATGGCAGACTGAGTAGTGCAAAGAAAAATGAGTTGGCATGTCCTGTCTATAACACATTCATCCATCTTCATCGTTCCCTCTGCACTACTCCATCTTCAATTGTTCATTTGTCTGTTTGTTTGCAGCCTTGTTTCAATGAGCAACACTCGCTGCACAGGCCCCAGGTGTAGATACACAAGTCAGCCACACCTTCTTTACCTATATGCTTTCACCTCTCTCTTTCTCTTTTTTGTATGTTTTTTTTTTTGTGGAGCTATGCTAATACACATGTATATGATGCGGATGTTTTAGTGAAATAAAGCAGCTGCAGTTATTCAGGACAAAATGATGTTATAGTGTTCATTTCTGCAACGTGCACCTTTTTTTTCCTGTTTACAATAATACGTCTCCCAGCATGTTCACCATGCTGTTGTCGTTTACGCTGCCTCCATTCATGCATTTCCGTTCGTCTGCATGTATGTGCCTGCTCTTCCTTTGCCTCAGGGTAGGAATATTCACCACATTCAACTTCCAGCTCAGCAAGACAGCCTTCTACTGCAGTGATAGGAAAGGTATAGGGTTCAGATTGTAATCAGTCACAGTATTTAATGTGTGTTTATGCTGCTTGTGTTTTTGACTCAGTGCTTTTGACTTTCAAGTTCTGTTTATTATTCATTGTTCTCTGTTGATTGTTAGCTTGCTCTTCATTTCTTTTTTTTTTATCACCCCTCAGCTGTAAAAGGCTGGTGGAGTTTTGTTTTCGGGCAAGTGGCTAGGATACCTATGTTTGTAAATCCAATAACTTGCGGCATCTACTAAAAATCTCTGAGAAATCTGCATCTCAGCGACTACTAGGAGGCTTGGGTGTAGCACTGGCGGTTCTTACCCAGGTTTTCTGTACTGCAATGGTTGTTCACTTCACTTTTTCTTTATTTTTATTTCTGTTGGCTGTAAAAAAATCTTACAAATTGTATTTTTCTCTAAGAGTTAAAATATGATCCAAAACAGGACACGTGTTTGATGACCTTGTATAAAATTTGTACATAGACAAATTCTCTGTTTGTGTCAAGCGGCGGCTGTGTGAAGGCAAGAGAGGACCCAAATGCACGGCTCTAGACACACAGGGATGAACTCAAAGGCAGGTCTTTATTAACAGGAACATAAGAAGTCATACAAACACTATACTGGGAGCAACTAAAGCTGAGGCGCTGGGAAGACACGGTAAATGCACACAACCTAGAGGGACGACGCAACACAGAACAAAGGGACACTCTGACATAAATACACAGAAGGTAACGAGGGAAGTGGGAACACACGGGGAACACAGCTGAAGACAATTACTCATGACCGAGCAGGGAGGACACGAAACTGAAAATACTGACACCAAGATGTGGACCTTAAACACAACACAGTACACAGAGATGAGCACAGAGAGAGAGAGGCAGAGAGAGAGGCAGAGAACAAGGATGAATACGAGGGGATGAGGAGAACACAGAACACAAAGGACAGGAACAAACCAGAACAAACACCACAATAAAAGCATGGACACAGGGGGAATCCAAATACCAAACCAAACAATCCAATGGACATAAGGAACAAAATACAAAACTACAGGAAAACTAAGAACACTGGGTCAAAATGACCCAGGACCATGACAGTTTGAGTTATGTACTGTATGTCCAGGTGGAGACACAGATCCCTTTGAGGAAGGTATGAAGGAGCATGAGGGCCAAAGAAATTAAATGAACATGAAACATGAACATGAAATGAATGTACAATAATAAAATACATTTTAGTTTTTTGCACGTTGAAATGAATTTCACTGGATTTTTAAAATTGTAATCTTTTCAAAATTAATATAAATTTTGATAATAACGTTAATATTTCCATCACCTCTTTCATTGGATTGCATAGGGGGAATCCCTGGATTACCTTAGCAGGTGGATAGCCAACTTTGTGTGACTGCTTATTGTGATTGCTGAGTTTAGTTTAAGTGAATCCAGATAACAGAAAAATACCCTTGTCGTGTTGAACTTGTGTTGTAGTACAGGGCCTTGTTCATCATTTCCCGCCGAGCTGTGTTTTATTTCTCTAAAAATGAACACTGGCTAGTGTATGTGTTAGTTTAAATTGCTTCAGTTGCGCTTTGTTATTCATTGCACTGTTTGTCCACTGTTGAGTTCCCTTTTTATCTTCTGTTTGGATATGTAGGCATTGTTTTTCTTTTTTTGTTGGATTACTGCCTCAAAAAGGTTTATTTATTATGCTTATTAATTTGGGTCTACCTTCGGATTACACTGTTCCCACTTTGTGTCATTGAAGATTCAAATGCATTTAGGAGCTGCACGCACACCAGTTGTATTAAAAGACTTTCAGAAATTGAGAAGAAAAAGGAAGAAAGTCATAGAGAGAAGATTGTGTGCAGGAGAAAGAATAATATGAATTTCACTTGTGGGGCTGAGGTAAAAAGAAACACAAATGATGAATCAAAGTGGTAGTTAATTTTAAAAAAGTAAAACAATCTCTGCATTATAGCAAAACAATGTTCTCAAAACAGCATCAAACCTAGGTGGGTGCATCGCTGACCACGACTGACTAATTAGTGATAAATATGAGCTGATCACAGGGAGTGAGGCTCGCCAGCTACAGCTTTAAAGTGTTTTTGAAATGTGTTGTCCTTACATAGCAATCCACAAAAATAAAAATAAAAAGAATTCACTTCAGTTATTCTCCCACCACTGTCACCAAAACACCCCCAAACCATAACATTTCTATGCTTGCTGGAAAGATAACCATTCTTGTAATGTATGCTGTATGTTATTTTTCCTCTTGCTTATTAGCTCAGGGCCTTCTCATTCTATTTTTGTTATAGTCATTTTGAAGGTTTTGGTTATTACCTACATGTATTAGTCTTTATCTTATAAGACTAAAGGAAAAAAACCCAACAATATTCTAAAGACCTCCACATGGTATAATGATAGCTGCAGAGGTAGTGGGTTGACGTACCTACCAGCGCTCATTCAATCAAATCATTGCTTTAAAAAAATCAGCACAACAGTTTTTCAGTTTTTCTAAAGTAATTAGAAAAGGCTACTTTATATATGTGTGCACATGCACATGGATATACAGTGGGGCAAAAAAGTATTTAGTCAGCCACCGATTGTGCAAGTTCCCCCACTTAAAATGATGACAGAGGTCAGTAATTTGCACCAG